TGCTTGCAAGAATGCCTGCAGGCTGTTTAGTTACTGCTCCCGGCTCTTTACAAATTTGGGCCTTAATGCTGTGGAGTCACCAAATATGATATTAATGCAATATATTGTCAGTAATTCATTAAGCACCAGATTTGGTTTGAATGCATTTATTGTCCAAATTAAAAATCAGTATTTTCTCCTTTACAAAGTATAAAAGATTCACAATATTCATAAAGCATAAAAAAAAATCCAGATTCATCCTGCACAATCTACTAAACAAAAAAACAAAAAAACAAAACAGTGAGTGGACTAAGCCGCTAAAAAGAGGGTAGGGCCTGTAATATTACAGGTGTGATGGGACATAGTCCCCTTCATGCCTACACCCCTAGGAATTGGGTGGGGGAGTATCTAGCATCACCAATCCATCCCCACCCATAGCTGGCAGGTGGGTGCCATTACTATATAATGGGGGCTCTAATTTATTATCTACAAAGTGGGGAAAACCGTGTCCCAGCCCCACCCATGGGCAGTGGCTACTAATAAAATATACATATATAAAGAAGAGATGGACATTCACTTGTCCACATACCAACAAATAAATGTGATTTCCCCCTCCTCCCTGGGTTGCAAGGGGTTCCTTAGCCAACCCATTAAAATAATTTCACAAAATACCAAGTAGATAAGCTGGCGCAGACCAAATCTGTAAACCAATCACGGGTTAATATGCAGCACCAACAGTATACCCAGGTTATATGATACAGAAAAATGAAACACAGAAAAAGTGCTAGTGCGCAAGTGTGAAAGAGTGACTCTAAGATGTACGTACAATGAAAGTATTACAGTCCCCAACAAAAACCATAGGTGTCAGACATTGACAAATCAATACTTCTAGCCTGTCAATAGGCATCACTGGTCTCTATAACATAGGAGATGTATATACATCTTAGAGTCACTTTTTCACATTTAAGGTGTCTTGGCATATATATTCTTGCGCACTAGCACTTTTTCTGTGTTTCATTAAAATAATGTAACTTTACCTTCACTCCTTATAATAGTGAGGGGGAAATTTTTTATTTACCATCAGATGTCTTCTTTCTTGTAATTGATTTTTTTCAGCCTCCATAAAGGCAAAATTAAAATAAATCATAATTCAATGTGTTTACACGTTAAAAAGAAGCCCCAGATTGCAAAAAGTCAACCAAAAAAACCCAAAACAACCTAACACAAAAAAGGAGACATCTTTGCCCCTCAAGGGCTCTGTGCAAAATGAGCTTTAAAGGCAGGAATGGTAATTTATAAAGGCTTTTTCACACTTTGAGTTCTCATTAGAGTCCTCTTCTTGATTGGCTTGTAAACCAACAAATCAGAGTGCTCTGAAAGGCAAGTCTCACTTCTCTTGAGACATGCCTAGGAATATTCCCACAATGCATGAATAGTAATCTCCCAATGCTTCCCTATGGGGCAGCCACTGTGAGACTGGCACCCTGGGTGAATAAAGGTCATTTGAAGAATGGATCCGGGTGTGGTGGGGAGGGCAATAGCCCATACAATTCATATAACACTCTAGCGTTAGAAATATTTATTTGTATTCCTAATGATTCCTAATGATATTCCTTTACTTGATTAGTATGCTACAAAAATGAAACATTGTTTAATTTATGTTACAGAGAAGGCATAGACTGCCTTATAACTACAAAAAATTCCACTGAAGGAAAGAGGAAAAAAGCAATCCTGCACAAGTTTCAGATCAATGTCACCTGAAGACATATGCTTTAAAAATATTAAAGTACAACCTGAAAGCTATAGGTCTTACAGCCCTTTGGGCACATCTGCTATATAGTATAAATATAACATGTAAATTGTTGATGTAATGGTCGATTTATACTGAGAATAATCAGATAAAGTTAGAAAAGTAAATAAGAATTGTAGATTATGCTAACAGAGTGTACCTCTTAATTTTAGTAATGACAGGAGGCTTTGTATTATGCATAACTGTGTTTACTCAGAACTCCAGCAGCACAGATAAATCATAGAATCAACCAATGAAAACAAAGTAACATTCTCTATATAAGGCCCTGACTGTCGAAACTTCTCTTCTTTCTTTGATGCAAGATAGATCGAAACCACCAACAGAACTGAAACAGGAAAGTAAATGGGAAAAATAAACACCAATTCCAAATGGTTCCAAAAAAGCATTCTGCATTTAGCGAAAAGACCAACAGAGCGGATAAAAGATGGTGAAGATCAAACTGAAAAGAACAGAAATAAGTGAAATGCAATGATAATGGCTTCATGTCAACATAACAGCGATAAGCAAGTGCAATATTAACAGGCAAATAGGACAATTATGAATCATAACAGAACAAAGCATAAGGTACATAAACATCAGAGACATAGGAAACACCCACCGAAGGACGGTATTGAAGTCTGAAAAAGAAACCGTTCAGAAAAAACAGAAACCCATAGAAGGCGGGGAAAACACTCACCTCCTGTCATTACTAAAATTCACTCCGTTAAGTGAACTAAGGTTCACTCCGTTAGCATAGGAGGCTTCGTATTTTGCATTTTTAACGCTAGGATTACAGTAAAGCGATGTAAGCATTAGAAGACGTACAGAAATAAAAGACCCGAAAGGAAGCTTTGGGAGACCAATCCTGTAACGCGTGATGTCCGTAATAGATGCGCCAGTCGAAAAAGCCTGCAATAAAACCACGCTGCGAACGGAATGAGCACCGAAACACATTTCAACCGGCTAGACTATCAGACAAAAAGTCGACATGTAGATGGCCCCTGTAGGTGAATAACTTGTGGAAGATTACCTAGCATAGCTGGAGGTTGTCAGGATAGGACTGGGTCGGAAGCCCAAAATCGGCTAGTCAGTCTACCGACCAGCTCACCCAAAAACACTGCAACCTGGAGAAGGGTTTTATACCTGTCTCAAGGAGCATTGAGCCTTGTTGAGGGTCGTAAACAGGGAGGCGTGTTTCTTGAGCTTGAGATGAAGGAGTCTTCAAACAGTAATCTTTTGTCGGAAGGGTGTCGGCTCCTTAGTGTTCAAGAGCTCAGAGTTAATTTGCCAGAGGGACTCTTTGTCTTGCATTGTGAATAGCCTCATTAGTATTCCCCAGCATATAAATGGAGCGTTGGGCCCGTTTGCGTATAACACTTAGGTTGAGCTGGGTTCCTTGTGACAGTGCCAGGACTGCGAATTATAGTATATTTGCTAACGGATACAAAAAGAAAAGTCCTGCGCTCACTCTCATCACTCCTGGGCGGCAGCAACGACCACAGTACACATCAGCTCCAATATATATAGTAAAAACCAACGAAAAAGTTACCGGCACTCTCTCCTTAATCCCTATGTATATTTAAACAAATGGAGGTCATTTAGTTACTCCAATGGCCACTGGAGGGAATGCCTGACGTTGGCACAGTAACTTTTTCTTTGGTTTTTACTATATGCATTGGAGCTGATGTGTACTGTGGTTGTTGCTGTCGCCCAGGAGTGATGGGAATGAGTGCAGGACGTATCTTTTTGTATTTGTATTCACTTTTTGTATCACACAGCTAGGTTACAATGCTACCGCCCATCCCATGTGTTCCCTATTAAGGGTTAATAAGTATATAGGGGTGTATATAAAAAATACCCCTCTCTGTCTCATTAGAGATATCTTTGGAAGCAAGGTGAAAGGTCAGTGTAGGACCTGTCTAGGGGGGTCTGCCTTGACGTTGGCAGGCGGGCATTCCTTCCAGTGGCCATTGGAGTAACTAAATTACCTCCATTTGTTTAAATATACATAGGGATTAAGGAGAGAGCTCAGGTATATTGGCTAACGGACCTAGAAGGTCAAGCAGTTTATCGTGGGTGCTCTTTAACCCTTTCTTTATTCCTTTACATGGGTCACGTCCCTTCCGAGACCTATCCAGAAATGGACTAACAAAGCCAAATACATGGGTAGGCTCTCTTCAGTGGACACCAAACAGGCAAAATGACCAGATGGTAGGTTTCAGTCAGGGCTGGTTTTTACAGCCTGCAAATTAGATGCAGCTGACCCTAATTGGAAAAGGGTTGCAGGTGGATCAGTACTGCTCAATCCAGAGAAGGGGTCAGGAAGCAGAAAAAAGTGGATACCTGGACATGTTGCAGCCACGACAAAGAACCTGACTGGGATGCTGGAGCTGTGAGTTCAAACCCAGCCAGGTCTCTTAAAAGGGGCAGCCACGCCTTGCTGTCTGCAGGACTCAGGCTGTGCAGTGACACACACAAACAACCACAGGGGTTTGCTTGCGGTGCTAGTGTGGAGGGTGATTGTGGGGTCACACATCTCCGTAATCCGGTGGCATGGTGGAGGGGTGGAGTATCCAGTTCTGCACCACGTTGGTAGGCCATGTTGCTCTGATCAGAGGGCCCGCCGGGCCTCCAGAGTCATGGGAGACAGATCTTGGAAGAGGCTTTCGAAATTGCCAGGTTTGGCACTTCCATGGTCCGCTCTTTTTGCTGTGTGACACTCCGTTGGATCGCTGTGCCCTATCCAGCTGGATACTCTCTGGTGTGTCGTTACTCAGGATGTGGTTAAATATGGCCTGTACTGTATCCTCCAAGGGCTCCGCTTCCGTCTCTTCCGGCAGGCCATGGACCCTTATGTTGCATCGCCGGCCTCTGTTATCGAGGTCCTCGACCTGCCTCCAGATATCTAGTAACATGCACCCCGTCTGATCGCTGCTAACTCGGCAGCACCGTGTTTTGGCGATGGAGCGTTCTGCAGCAGTCTCGCACTTTGAGACCCGCTCTTGCAAGGCCAAGATGTCCTTGCGGCCAGTTCTGCCCTGATGGTACGTGTAACGGATCACCTGGCACCCCGACTGAGTACCTCCGTTGAAGGATGCTCCTAGCGCTTCCTGAGGACTCCAAGCACTGCAGCAGACACCACAACCACCGAACCGGAGAAGCATTAGAATACTCTCAAGCATATGAATGCTGTAAGCAGCTGAACAGGAAAAGCATACAATCAGCTTACACTCCTGGCAATCAGCATACAATCCAATTCCCCCAATAACGAGACGACACTTCGTTTTGAGGTCAAGCAGAACTGACTGTACTGGCACATACAGCCTCTTTTATTCCCAATCCACAAACTTAGTACTGCCTACAGGGTTTTACAGAACAACCAATAACACACGTACATTACAGAAAACACTCCCAGCAAATATACACAAAATCCTCCCCTCTGCTTGTGATCTAATTATGGCACACAATGGGTTAACCTAATTATCACAAGCAGGAAAAATACAGTATCATAAAACACATCACAGGGACCCCAAAACACACAATAACCCCATAAAAGTATATGCTCGGAACCGGGGGATCTGGGTGAACCACATATCCAAAATTCACCCAGATCCGTTCAGTACTTTGGAAGATACAGTTTAATGCAGATTCCACAGAACATATGCAGGCTAAATGAAAAACAATTACTGTATAATGTGTCCCCAGTTGTATAGTCCAAAACCACTGCACGATGTCTCTGTGCACCAAATACCGGCGAGATGACACCGTGTTGAAAAGTCCAAACAGTGTCTGTGAGTTAAAATGACCGCCATCCATTGTTCTCACCATGTGCTTCATCCATTGTTCTCACCATGTGCCTCTGATACAAGAAATGGTGCCCACCCAGTAACTCCACAGTATGTCCCCAGATGGTTCTTAAAGGGCCAGTAGCAGCACAACACAAACCCATTATGCCCAAATCATGTCTTTAAAGGGCAATACATCCCAGGGGCCATAGTCACATGGCAGGAGGCTGGCAATCAGTCTTCTCCAATGCCCAGTGGCGAGGTTGGTTTCGCCACAGTACGCTTTAGAGACGTCTCCAAGGCATCGCATCAGCTTTGGTGAACATGGAGGTAGTGATCGCACAGAGATCCTCCCTTATCTGTTCCATCTGGTTGTGTGTATACCCCGCCCCAGGCTCTCTGTGCCCGACTGTGCACCAGGCCACGCCACCAGCAAGTGGCTAATATATGCAAGGGATTGGTACCTTTAATATGGGGAGACGCTGATAGTCTCCAGTAGTAAAGGGGGCTCACCCCTATAGAATACCATAAGGCACGTGGCCAGGATGGGGACTCACCCCTGCGCACAGTTACACCAAGCAGACTGCACCATCAGGCACACTATATGTAAGTAAACCTTCGTAATGGAAATTATAACTGTACAGTTGATAGGGCACAAATAAATCCTTCTTATGTAGTAATAAAGGAGATCACCTGAGAAAGATCCTGTAGTAGATGTATGCAGTGTAGCAGAAGATCCAGGAGTACAGGCAGACCAATATGTGAGAGGTATCAGTGTAACAGAATGATTCCTTGTATTGACAGGCACTATGGAGCAGTGTGAGTCTTATAGTGTGTCCTGGTACAGATATGTTACTGTAAAAACGCTGTAGATACTAACATAATGGACTAGAACAAGAAACAAAATGGACACTGTGAACCTCGCAAGATTCAAGATGGCCACCGTGAGCGAGGACGCAGCAGGAATAACTCCTGCAGGCCCGAAGTGGAGAGAGTGCAGTGTGCTCAGTGCTGTCTGCCGCGGCGCAAGGCAAAGCAAATACAAGGAAAAATACAGGGAATAATATCCAGTGGCCTAAAGACAAACTAAAGCAAGCAAATACAAGGAAAATACAGGGAGTAATATATAGAGGCCTAATGGCAAACTAAAGCAAGCAAATATAGGAAGTAATATCCTGAGGCCTAATGACAAACTAAAGCAACTAAATACAGGATAAATACAGGGGGTAATGACAAACTAAAGCAAGCAAACACAGGGGAAGCTACATGGAGTTTTATCCAGAGGGCCAATAGCCAACTAAAGTTACAGAAACCGGACAGGGCATGAAGGCTAGGCAAAATAGTGGGGAATGGGGATGACAGCTGGAAGGGCAGCGTAGAGTATAGGAAACACCATGAAAGAGATATAAGTGTAAATAGAAATACACATGTATCATACAGAAAACAGAATGAGCAAATACTCTGACCTGTGCACAGCAGGAGCAGCAAAGAAAGAGAAGTTTGGACTGTCAGGGTCAGGGACGTATTAGCCGCGATGCAAACAAGGCCTTTGCCTTGGGCGGCATTTTTCAGGGGGCGGCGCTGGCTGGTGGTCGGGCGGGCGGCTGGCGAGGGAGCACTTCCTCTGAGCTGACTGTTCAGCTCCCTCGCGTGCCGCAGAGTGAGGCTGGGAGCCGGGTTGATGATGTCATATTCCGGCTCCCAGCCTCACTCTGCGGCGCGCGAGGGAGCTGAGCAGTCAGCTCAGAGGAAGTGCTCCCTTGCCAGCCGCCCGCCCGCCCAGCGCCGCCCGCCAGCCCATCAGCCCGACCGGCAGCCACTGGACCACCAGGGAGAAAGAGGAACCCGCCCCCCCAGCATTCCCAAAGGTAAGGAGGCTGGGGGGGGGTTAAATTAAAAAAAAAAGTTGTTAATGTGAGTGATTGTGTGTGTCTGACTGTGTGTGTGTGTGTGTCTGACTGTGTGTGTGTGTGTGTGACTGTGTGTGTGTTTGTGTCTGACTGTGTGTGTGTGTGTGTCTGACTGTGTGTGTGTGTCTGTGTGTGTCTGACTGTGTGTGTGTCTGACTGTGTGTATGTGTGTATCTGACCGTGTGTTTGTGTCTGGACTGTGTGTCTGACTGTGCGTGTGTTTGTGGTGTCTGACTGTGCGTCTGACTGCGTGTCTGACCGTGTTTGTGTCCGACCGTGTGTGTGTGTGTGTGTCTGACTGTGTGTGTGTGTGTGTGTGTCTGACTGTGTGTGTGTGTGTCTGACTGTGTGTGTGTCTGACTGTGTGTGTGTGTGTCTGACCGGGTGTGTGTGTGTCTGGACTGTGTGTGTGTTTCTTGTGTCTGACTGTGTGTGTGTGTGTCTGACTGTGTGTGTTTCTGTGTCTGGACTGTGTGTGTGTTTGTGTCTGACCGTGTCTGACTGTGTGTGTGTCTCGGACTGTGTGTGTTTGTGTCTGACTGGTGTGTGTGTGTGTGTCTGACTGTGTGTGTGTGTGTCTGACTGTGTGTGTGTGTGTGTGTGTCTGACTGTGTGTGTGTCTGACTGTGTGTGTGTGTGTGTCTGACCGTGTGTGTGTTCGTTCGCTGACTGTGTGTGTGTTTGTGTCTGACTGTGTGTGTGTTTGTGTCTGACTGTGTGTGTGTCTGACTGTGTGTGTGTGTGTCTGACTGTTTGTGTGTAAGTGTGTATTTAGAAGGTGGGGTGGGGGGAAGGGTTGGGTGGGGGTGGCGCGGGGGAAGGGGGATGCCTGAGTTTTGTCCAGCCTAGGGCAGCACAAAACCAGGATACACCACTGGTCAGGGTCCTATAGAGAGAATGTTACTTTGTTTTCATTGGTTGATTGTATGATTGATCTGTTCTGCTGGAGTTTTGAGTAAAGAAAGTTATGCAAAATACGAAGCCTCCTGTCATGTGGTAAAATTATTATTATTATTATTATTTATTTTTTTTAAAGAAGCACAGAAATGATACAACAGGTATAGTAAAAGAATATGTATGAAGCAGGCCTCCATATACCCTGACAAAAAGCTATCAGGACTAGATTTCCCATATGAAGGGCTGAAGTTAAATAGCTTATCCAATAAATGTATTGAGACTACACTTAGTAATGCTAGTAATGGAAATAGGTGTCTTCATAAATGAAATGACAATAACACAGCAAATATTTCCCAGCAAAGTAATCTGAAATGATGAAATAAATAAGCAATTGCCAAACCTGAATGAGAACCACACTTTATAGAGGCATGCATCACATCACACAAAGGTATACCTCCCAAGTGTCCCTAATCACAAGAGATTGTCCATATTTTAGGACCAATCCCTATGTTCCTCTTCTATATCCTAATTTCCTTCTTTTCAAGAAGCTCCATATAGCTAGTGTGTCTGAGTGTATAACAGAGCTCTACAGCAATAATACTCAGTAATGTGTCTTTAAACTACAATAAATGAGTTTATAAATCAGTCTGTGTAAATAAGATACATCTTGTTCTAAATAACATTTTAGTTGCATTCATTCTTATTGGTAAGTCAACTACAACTTCACAGAACAGCCCTGCCGCTGGCCACACCTCCACTCACACCCCTAAAATGAAAGTGTTCCTCTTATTCCTTATGAAATGTAGGGAGTTATTGCAGGACAGGCAACCTTCTGCACTCCAGTTGTTGTGGTAAGACCACACCTTGAATATGCTGTGCAATTTTGGGCACCTATTCCAAAGAAGGATATCATGGCACCAGAAAAAGTGCAGAGATGGGCCACAAAATTGATAAAAGGAATGGAACATTTTAGTTAGGAAGAAAGGTTTAAAAATGTGAATCTCTTTTGTTTGGGAAAACGGCGCCTCAGAGGGGATATGATAACATTATACAAATATATATATTCCATGATCTGGAAATCTATTTATAAACAGGGCTATACATAGGACACGAGATCATGCATTTAAGCTGGAAGAAAGGAAAATTAGTCTAAGGCCAAAAAAACTTGCTTTTTTTTTTACAGTAGAGCAATAAGGATTTTGAATTCTCTGCCTTAAGAGGTGGTTTTAGCAGAGTCCATACAGATGTTTTAAAGGACCACTCTAGGCACCCAGACCACTTCAGGTTAATGAAGTGGTCTGGGTGCCAGGTCCAACTAGGGTTAACCCATTTTTTTATAAACATAGCAGTTTCAGAGAAACTGCTATGTTTATGAATGGGTTAAGCCTTCCCCCTAATCCTCTAGTGGCTGTCTCATTGGCAGCCACTAGAGGCGCTTGCGTGCTTCTCACTGTGATTTTCACAGTGAGAGCACGCAAGCGTCCATAGGAAAGCATTGTAAATGCTTTCCTATGCGACGGGCTGAATGCGCGCACAGCTCTTGCCGCGCGTGCGCATTCAGCCCAGGAGGAGGATCGGAGGAGGAGAGGAGGCAGAGAGCTCCCCGCCCAGCGCTGGAAAAAGGTACGTTTTTAACCCTTTCCCCTTTCCAGAGCCGGGCGGGAGGGGGTCCCTGAGGGTGGGGGCACCCTCAGGGCACTATATTGCCAGGAAAACGAGTATGTTTTCCTGGCACTATAGTGGTCCTTTAACAGCAATTGGATAAATACTTGCAAAAACATATAGAGGGATATAATTTCTAACTAGCGGGGTAATAGCTGTTTGATCCAAGGAGATATCTCACTGCCATTTCAAGAAGGCATTTTTTATTAGTTTGTTGAAAAATTGGAAGTGCATCAGACTAGGTTTTTTGCCTTCTTTTGGATCAACAGCAAAAACATATATGAGAAAGGCTTTTCAACTATGTAACATCTACCATAATTCTTTTAAAGCCATAATGCTGGCAGAGCATCATGGGACATGTAGTCCCCAACATATAAAGTGCTGAAGGCCACTACCCCGGGGCTGTGCTATTCCTCATGGTCAAGAATTTGTATACTGTATACAGATACACATTCATGTAAATACAGTGGGTGGAGACCTGGATTCTATGAATGAACATTCAGAAAAAAATTATCAGTGCGACCAATGCCCATCTACAATATTTCATTTCTCCTTGTACTATGTAGGGTGGCAGCTTGTGCAGCTACTGTCTTCTAAGTCAGTTCCTAAGGCCACCAGCGAATTCTTGTAACACCATGACGCTCCTTGGAAAATTCCACTAATAGTGACTTCATATGGTGACCTCACAATGCACATCCACTCACAGCAAATAGTTAAAGACTACCTTGCACCCTGTAAAATTCCGTTATTAGTGACAGTATGTGCTGACCTTACAAAAATCATCTCACTCAGGCAAAAAAGAAAAAGTAAAAAAAAAAAAAGGTGTGCAGGTGCGAGTCAACAGAAATAGAAACTAGAAGAATAGTTATAGAATGTGGAAAGTGTATTTGATTTAAGATGGCAAGTTGTAAATATCAAATATTTTTATTGAGAGTGCAACTAATACAAACAAAATACAAATATTATACTTTAAAGATTTAAAAATAATATTCTACAATGTGGTATGTTGTTTGCAGTCATCCACACATAAAATTAAAAATACAAACAAATAAATAAATAAAAATAGAGAAATTGTGTGTAATTCAGCTTTAAGCATATCGTAAAAGTAATGAAAACTTTCCTGAGGCATTATAAAGAATGCTACATACTCATATTTCATTGAACTATTTTTTGCTCAGAGATAATAGACATACGACAGTGCAATCAGCAACTAAGGATATTATGATTATTTTTCTATAAAGCACCAACACATTTTGCAGCACTGTACAATAAATAGGTGGACTAACAAACAAGGAGTTTTAACAAGACAAATTGGATGTACAGGAACAGAAGGTGCTAAGGGCTCTGCTCAATTGAGCTTACATTACATTCTGAGGTAATTGCCAAACAAATCCAGGATGCAAGCAAGGAAGCAATATACTCAAACCTATTTAAACAAATATTAAATATTTAAATATTAAAATCTGTGTATATAAAACATGCAATAGCACTCATTAACAAACATTTATTTTTTATTTATTTTTTTTATAACAAAAGTACTCTATTATATAGTGCTGAAAGTTAAATGAAAAATTTAAGGTACCTTGCAAAAAAGCAGTAAAGTCTGCCTAAAGTCTGTATGATCTAATGTGGAATTTTTGCACTGTAAATAACACCTAAATAATAGCAGTAATGTCTCTTTAAACGTGTTTAGACATTCCCTATGGGGCAGCCATAGGGAATGTCTAAACACGTTTATTGTAGTTTGTATAAAATAAGATACTTTGTTTTGTTCTAAATTACATTGTAGCTATATATGTTATTATATGTATTATTAATTATTATTATTTTATTATTTATATAATGCCAGCAAATTAATAAGTCAGTTCTCAGAACAGCTCCATCTATGGCCACACCACCACAATTAAAGTGTCCTCCTTTGTCCATTTAAAATGTTGGAAGGTATGTATATGAATATGGTGTTTGATGCAAAAACCATGCTAAAAAGAGAAACACACAAATAGAATCAACAATGAATGTATGTTTTAAAAGACCACTATAGTGCCAGGAAAACATACTTGTTTTCCTGGCACTATAGGGTCTCTAGGTCCCCCCCCACCCTCTGGGTCCCCCTCTCGCCGGGCTTTAAGGGGTGGAAGGGGTTAATCCCTTACTTTTTTCCCTCGGTGCGGGGAACTCTCCTCCTCCTTTTCGCCGTCATCGGCTGAATGCGCATGCGTGGCAAGAGCCGCGCGCATTCTGCCAGTTCATAACAAAGCATTCACAATGCTTTCCTATGGACACTGGCGTCTTCTAACTGTGAAAATCACAGTGAGAAGCGCGGAAGCGCCTCTAGCGGCTGTCAATGAGACAGCCACTAGAGGCTGGATTAACCCATAGGTAAACATAGCAGTTTCTCTGAAACTGCTATGTTTACAGCAAAAAGGGTTAAACCTAGCTGGACCTGGCATCGAGACCACTTCATTAAGCTGAAGTGGTCTGGGTGCCTATAGTAGTCCTTTAATGTGATAAATATTCACATCACTTTTCAATGTATACGATAAAACTATTTTTCTTATTTTGTTTAGTTTTATTTTTTAGATTGGTTATCTATAACTAGAGATGTCCCGAACAGTTCGCCGGCGGACAGTTCCCGGCGAACATCGCATGTTCGCGTTCGCCACGGCGGGCGAACATATGCGATGTTCGGTCCGCCGCCTATTCCATATCATTGAGTTAACTTTGACAACCCCCCCGGGGGGGGGGTTGTCAAAGTTAACTCAATGATATGGGGGGGGGGACCTACTGTCCTCCCCCCTGGCCCCCACCCCTGAGCGGTGGGTGGGGGCCCTAAATACTAAAAAGGGGGGGGGGCCTAATGTCCTCCCCCGTGGCCCCCACCCCTGAGCGGTGGGTGGGGGCCCTAAATTGGAATAAGGGGGGACCTAAGGTCCTCCCCCCTGGCCCCCACCACTGAGCGGCGGGTGGGGGCCCTAAATACTAAAAAGGGGGGGGACCTAATGTCCTCCCCCCCGGCCCCCACCCCTGAGCGGCGGGTGGGGGCCCTAAATACTAAAAAGGGGGGGGGACCTAATGTCCTCCCCCCGGCCCCCACCCCTGAGCGGCGGGTGGGGGCCCTAAATACTAAAATTTCCCCCCCACCCCCCAGGTGACTAGGGGTCCCCAAACCCCTAGTCACCCCCTCCCCCCCAAAAAAAACATTATCCCCCTACCTACCCCCCTCACCCTAAAAATAATAAGGGGGGGCACCTTTAACTAAGTACCTGTAAAAAGAAAAAAAAACAACTTACCATTCGATGTTTTCTTTCTTCTAAATCTTCTTTTTTCAGCCCCAAAAAAGACCAAATAAAAAACCATAATAACCGACGCAATTAAAAAAAAATAAATAAAAAACGAGCGCAAAAAAATAATAATCCATCTTCACCCGGTGAGTGCTCGGCGCAGACTGAGCTCTGCAGGGCGGGGGAAGGCTTATAAAGCCTTGCCCCGCCCTGCAATTAGGCTCAGAGCACTCTGAT